TCTAACCTCATACTATGCCCTAACGGGTTTGACACCAGTATAGGTTGTTTTAATTGTTCTTTCATTATGTCAGCTTTTTCAGGCATAGGCACGCAGATATAAGATAATGTTGATCCAGGATCTATCAACACATGCATGATAGTATCGAATAAGGAAAACATACCCTGAATGACGTCAGGGTTTTCCTCAGCTCGTGCCTTCATTGCATAAGTACGAGCAGGAGCTCGTCCTTGTTGCTGACCCTGGTTCTTGGCTGGATTAGATCCCGCCGTCGATCGCTGACTTGGCGCAGGTCGTGCTAAGGCTGATTGGCTGGCAACTGGGGCCGTTGAAAATGGTTTACCAAGATTAGTGGGGCAATCCTTTCGAAAATGTCCTGATTTACCGCAACCTAGACATAACCCTTGGGCAAACCAACACTCGCCTGGATGATGTCTCCCACACGTATCACACAATGGGTGTTTCCACCCTTTTGATTTGCTTTCCGACGCCACGGAGTGCGTCTGTGCCGATTTCCCTTTCTTTGAGAAGTGCGAACTGCTAGATTCTTGGAAGGGCCTTTTTCCTTTTGAGGCAGAGCTAGTGGGACGGTGAGTGCTTGAGCTAGCATTGTTTGCCTTTAAATACTCTATGCAAGCACTCAGGTCACTATCTGCCCTAGCTATGATCTCGTAGGCCTTTGCAAAATCCACGGTGGTAAGGACGGACACACGTGACCTGAGGTCAGGTCGAAGTTTCTTCCTGAACTCCTCAATGCGATTGGTTGGGGTACTCACCAAGGTTGGCACAAAGTTTGCAAGTTTGGTGAACTTCTGACGATCTTCAGGGAGTGTCATGTCTCCCTGTTGCAGTTCGACAAATTCCGTACGTCTTTCTTCACTAAAACGTTTTGGAATATATTCTTGCTTGAATGCCCATTCGAAATGTGCCCATGCCCATGGCTTAGGAGTTCCTGCACTCTCATCGGTCCTCTTCCACCACTCGTAGGCTTCCTTTCGAAGCAATTGAGAAGCCAGTCTGGGATAATTGTCAATGGGTATGTTAAGATTTTCCAACACCCGAGCCGTCTGCTCGATCCAATCCCATGCAATTTGGGGTTCGGCGATGCGATCCCCAAAGAATATCTCCGCACCATTATCCCTTAGTGTTTTGTAGGTTACCACACGAGGTGGTGGTGGTGGAGGTGGTTGAAACATTGGTGCGTTTGCTATCTGTTGTAACACATTAGCCAGAAAAGTTGGAATCACAAGGTCGGGTTGACCACCAGCGTTCGGGTTATTCCCAACATTTTGTTGATTGACAGGTTCATTTTGGACGGGAGGGGTGAAGCTAGATGCTTCAGTATGAACACTAACGTGTTCATTGTTGTTGCCTTGTCCGTGGGCAGATTCTTGACTCATTCTACAATAACAGGNAAAATCTGATTGAACCATTACGGTCAGACAGTTAAACTCTATTTAATGATATAATTTTTATATTTATTTGAAATACTTTTTCTGACAGCATATTTTTGGGTGTTGACTTTGACAGAGTCAAAATTGAATTAATTGATATGTAATCAAAATTAGTCTCATATTCAATCAATATTATTAAATGTAAATAGTTATTTCAATAAACCATTTTTCAAAAAGTTCACATCTTTGACTTTTTCTCATTTTTATACAAATTACATATTTAAAATGTCATAATTGAAAATCCGTACATCAGATTTATTCATAAAATATACCGTTAGATTTGTCTCTTTGAGACCTATCCATAAAAGTCAATCTTAACAAAAAAAATCATTGACTCTAAAAATTCCTTCGTTTCTGGTCAAACATAGAAATAATATTTTTGTTGAGTCAAAATATTATTTCTAAAATACTTTTATTATAAAATAATATAACTTTTAGACCATATTTTGGGGCGTTACACTACAGCTTATAACAAGTAGGTTCTTTGACCTAACAAATTGTCAGTATGTGGCAAAGGGTAGGGATTTTTGATCGTCAGTTTCAAGTTTCGGTAGTTGACATAGTGTCTCGTCGATGAGTCTTTCTTTGCGTACAATTAGGACAGGTACTCTCTCAAGGAGAAAACACCTTTTCAGGTGATTCCTTGTCAAGCAATCCATACAATTGAGCTTTCAAACTTAGCGGAAGGTCATTTAATATGGAGTTACGAATATCGGTATTTCCTCAGAACAAGATCGATAGAGAATTCAATTTCTCTAGAAGATAGAATATCTGGAAGTTCACGAGGGAACATGTTAGAGAAGTTACATTTTGTCGGTATATCCTTCAATCACTACTATAGAATGTATATTACACAACGCACTTTACACAGCAAACAACTTAAAAGGGCTGTGTAAATTTTAAGGTATATGACTAGCGCTGTTTAAGGGTTTAACGCTTATTCCAATTTATTTTTTTTACGCTTACACAGCGGTGGAGCTGTGATAACTTCAGCGGTGCAAATTAGAGAAAGGGAATACTATATGTACCCTGGGTTTGTACTTTGTACACCATGCTCCATATACCCATTCTTTCCCGTCTCTGCGCCCCACCCGTCTCTCTCTTTCTCCCTCTTTTTTCCAATCAATTCCCGACCGGCGTGCACAACCTGCGCTCATCTTCTTGTTCCAAATCTTGAGTACTATCGTCGCCATCTTTGCTTTCCTCCTTCGTCTACCATGTTCCCTCCACTCCAAGCGTTCGTCTTCGCACTTCCGCACAGGTAAATCAAATATGGTTTGGTTCATTGTTATTTCTGAGTTTGTTCATTGTTGACGGAGGTTTTGATTTTCCAATTTGAATAAGGCAAAAATTGAATTTGATTTTGTTCACAAATCTAATTTTGTGTGCGCTTGCATGTAGTTCTTGGCAATTTTATTTTGTGCATAAACTAAATTTCCTAGTTTACTTTATTTTACACTGCTCTAGGCAAATTGTTTCCTGATTTATTTTCAATTAGCTTCAATAACTTGATTATCTTACCAAAATAGTGA